ATGAAGAACTTTGCGACCTTTTGCAATTTGTGTAGAATGTAAGGGAAAATCCGTGAGCTCCTCACGTAATTACTAGTAAACCTAACGAATTTTAATAGGAACAAAAATTCAAAAGTATCATTCATCAATTTTATAGCTCATCGGTGCTTCCACTGCTGAATGTAATATGTCTCCAGTAGATTGCCTCACAGGGATTATATTTTTTAGTACAGCATAGTTGCCACTTGCCACGCTTGAGTGACGGCACCCGCTGTTTTTATTTTTAAATTGTTATCAGAAAAATGCTACTATCCACCTCCAGGTTTGTTATCCTCTGTCGCCTCTTTTGACACCTATGAGACGATATGGGTTAATGAATATTCTTACACTGCCACTACACAATATTTGTTAAGAGTGCGTTTGCAAATCGGACCAAATTATGCTGTTTTTCGGTACATTTTGTGACAAAACTAAACCAAATCAAATATAACTAATTACTACAACGTATAGAATGGTTCTTTATCTTCAAATGGTGGTAACTTTTTTGTTGAAAATAATAGTTTTTGACATTGTAAAAAGGATCTTCCCTAGCCATTTTCTACAAAATTAACGATACCGGCTCATGTTTCGGTACATTTTTTGTTCTATTATCAACATATATTAAGATTTCTAAAACTACTTTAAGTAGGCAGATATATCAAATAAAAAATGCTGGTGTTTACTTTTTATCAAAATGTCACAAATGGTCGTAAAAAAAATAAAAACTGATGCTTATTTTTTTGACATATTTTGCTGATACGGATGAATTCTAATCGATTGCAATAAGGATTATTTTATTTTTAGTGCCTGTTTTGATTTGTTGTACAAAAATTTCGATGAAACAGTCACACAGTCGGCGCCACAGAGTACTTTGAATAGGTCGGCGCTCGGCCGCCATCGCGGATGGTCACTGTATCGCCTGCAGCAGCTGAAAAAGATCACTGTACAAACACAAAATATTCGAATTAATTAGGTACCTGACACCAGATGGAAGTTAGCGTAGAACATTCTTTTTTTTTAATTAAACTGTATGCCAATTAATTACTCCATAAATGCTCCAGCAGAATCCGAAATTGCTCCACCTCTATTGCTATTAGTTAATTTATAACTAATTTTAAAAGAAAATAATTGTCGAAAATTTAATTTTGCTATAAAACATAAAATATGTACTTTATAAAATTAAACTGTATGACAATTAATTGCTCCTTAAATGCTCCAGTAGAATCCGTAATTTTTCTGTCTATTGCTATTAGTTAATTTATAATTAATTTTCAGATAGAATGATTCTATTTGAGTAATAGCGCCATCATCAATAGAATGTAGTAACATTCTATAGTTAAAGTCATTTTATCGAACAAAAATTGATTGACTCTCAAGGTGGTACGTAGAAAAGACTAGATGGCACAAACACAAAAATATTATTAACATAGTTGTCTAATACATTCATAAGAATCCGTAATTTCAAAACTCACCCATCAATACTTTTTTTTGGTTTTATGCCATTAGGCATCTATTCTACGTACCACCTTGAGAGTCAATCAATTTTTGTTCGATAAAATTACTCAAATAGGATCACTCTATCTCAAAATTAATTATAAATTAACTAATAGCAAAAGACAGAAAAATTACGGATTCTACTGGAGCATTTAAGGAGCAATTAATTGACATACAGTTTAATTTTATAAAGTACATATTTTATGTTCTATAACAAAATTAAATTTCCGACAATTATTTTTTTTAAATACATTATAAATTAACTAATAGCAATAGAGGTGGAGCAATTTCGGATTCTGCTGGAGCATTTAAGGAGGAATTAATTGTCATACAGTTTAATCTTATAAAGTAGATATTTTATATTTTATAGCAAAATTAAATTTTGGATACTTAAAATATTTAAAAATTAATTATAAATTAACTAATAACAATAGAGGTGGAGCAATTTCGGATTCTGCTGGAGCATTTATTAAGAAATTTATTGGCATACAGTTCAATTTCAAAAAGTAAATATTTTATATTTTATAGCAAAATTAAATTTTCTATACTTATTTTTTTTTTAATTAATTATAAATTAACTAATAACAATAGAGGTGGAGCAATTTCGGATTCTGCTGGAGCATTTATGGAGCAATTAATTGGCATACAGTTTAGTTAAAAAAAAGAATGTTCTACGCTAACTTCCATCTGGTGTACCTGACCTGACAAAGTAAAATAATACATAATATAAATATATTTTTATAATCATAAATGTTTTATTTCGCTAAAATCAAGTGGGATTTATAATATATAAATATATATAAATCCTATTCGTCTTGGACTTTATGGAGTGATCTGAAAGTATACGGTGAATGCTACTAGAACTCCTCGACGAGTTGAACTAGGTGTGCCGAGTTTGGGCTCATTATGTTAGTTATGACGAGACCTTACCTCCGGACTTGATGGAATGACCTGAAGGTGTACTTCGGTAACTGCTAGTGGAACTCCTGGACAAGTAGAACTAGGTATACCGAGTTTGAGCTCGTTTTGTTAGTTATGACGAGACCTTATCTCCGGACTTGACAGAATGACCTGATGATGTACGTTGGTGACTACTACTGCAACACCTGGACGAGTAGAACTAGGTGTGCCGAGTTGGGGCTCGTTTTGTTAGTTATGACGAGATCTTACCTCCGGACTTGATGAGAGACCTGTTGGTGTACTTCAGTGACTACTACTGGGACTCCTGGACGAGTAGAACTAGGTGTGCCGAGTTTGGGCTCGTTTTCTTAGTTATGATGAGACCTTACCTCCGGACTTGATGAGAGACCTGATGGTGTACTTCAGTGACTACTACTGGAAATCCTGAACGAGTAGAACTAGGTGTGCCGAGTTTGGGCTCGTTTAGTTAGTTATGATGAGACCTTACCTCTGGAATTGATGGAGGGACCTGATGGTGTACTTCAGTGATTACTACTGGAACTCCTGGACGAGTAAAACTAGGTGTGCCGAGTTTGGGCTCGTTTTGTTAGTTATGATTATGACGAGACCTTACCTCCGAACTTGATGAGAGACCTGATGGTGTACTTCATAACCCCTGGACGAGTAGAACTAGGTGTGCCGAGTTTAGGCACGTCGGAGAAAATATAAATGGTATTACCAAATTCACGGGCAACTGCGCATCATAACTAACAAACTCGGCACACCTAGTTCTACTCGTCCAGAAGTTCCAGTAGTAGTCACTAAATTACACCATCAGGTCTCTCCATCGAGTCCGGAGGTAAGGTCTCGTCATAACTAACAAAACGAGCCCAAACTCGGCACACTAGTTCTACTCGTCGAGGAGTTCCAGTATCAGTCACCGAAGCACACATTCAGGTCTCCATTCAGTCCGGAGGTAAGGTCTCATCATAACTAACATATTGAGCCCAAACTCGGCACACATGTTACTACTCGTCCCGGACTTCCAGTAGCAGTCACCCAAGTATACCTTCAAGTTACTTCACCAAGTTCGGAGCTGAAGTTATCATAACAAAACCAGCCCAAAGTCCACAGCCAACATCTCACTCCCAGTAGAGGGCTTCTAGTGCCTAGCTGTCTCTGGAGCAGCCATTTATATTTCGTATCTAAGTATATTTTTGTAGGTATAAGAAATATGAAAAAAAAACAATCTTTCAAATTATCAAAATGTTTATACTTGATTGCGATTCCCGCAGCTAACCGTGCGTACACTTGTGTGTGTGACCCGTGTCAATGTAATAGTTCGATTCTATACCTATCAATTTTGTAAACGCGTCCTTAAGTTAGTTATTTTTTACTTGGGAATTTAATTAAAAACTAACTACCGTCAAAATATGAATTTAAAATTTTCTTCAATGATTGGTTTGGTAGAATGACTATATTGCTTGTACTATGGGATCAGCAGTGAAGGAAAACATAGTGATGAACGTGGTAGAGCCATATATACGATACAGCACGAAGGGTTCAGCTTAACCGGGGAAGAATCACGCACTCATAGTACCAGCTTAAAATTGCAGCTTGATTTTGATAAAATTGTAATTTGTATGATGGATGTAGAGAACCGGAGACCCGTAATACTGGATACAAAGCATGTCAACTTACTCCTCAGGGCTGAAATTAATGCTGACGCATTTTGATTCTTTACCGAGGATAGTTGTAAGTATCTATGAGCCATAGTACCCACTTACCATCAGTTAGACAGTGTGCTTGTTTGTAACCCTTATTCTATAAAAAAGATCCGACTATGGACAATACCAGATAAATCTTATGGCTTTCGATATCTAATATATATCGAAAGCCATAAGATTTATGGAAAAAAAGAAGAGGTGGTTATCGTGACCAAGTGCAGCGATTCAGGCAAATCTTCCTTATTCAGCAGAGGACTGTGAGCTACTAAATAAGAAGAAGATAAACATTCATTAGAGCAGTGGTTCTTAACCTCGGATGACGACCCAAATTCAACAGTGGACTTGTAATGATGAATGATGACGTCTGTTTTATGTTATGATCTATATAAATAAAATAGTAGAGGTTTGCAGTTGTGTGCGCATCACGGAATAATTTAAAAACTAAACTTTTGTACGACTGATTTCAATATAAACTATTAAGAATAACTCAAAAACTATTGGTCAGACCTTAATTAATAATAAAAAAAATTAGAATCATCGAAATCGGTTCACCCAGAAAAAAGTTATGAGGTAACACATAAAAAAAACATACAGTTGAATTGAGTACCGTATCCTTTTTGAAATCGATAGAAAACTACTGGATAGATTTCAATTAAGTTTTCTAAGTATTATTTCTTAGACACTTGGCCTATCTAAAAAAAAAATATTGCGATATCTTCATTTAATGTAAAGTTATTAAAGTTTAAAGAAACAACGATTTTTATAAGCACTACGTGTTCAGTGATGTGTTTCCTTGATATATCAAGCAACGCAGACGAAGTCGCGGGTGTCAGCTAGTGTTTAATATAACTTTTGTTTCAGTTTCGACAGCATATGGACTCAGTGTATGACTTCATAGTAGTGGGTGGAGGTTCCGCGGGCTCCGTGGTCGCCGCGCGTCTCTCCGAAGTGCCCGAATGGCGAGTGCTACTTATAGAAGCCGGTAAGTCAGAATCTTCGTCTTTAGAATCGTTGCAATTTGAAAATCGATGAAACAAAAAAGCTACACTATAAAGAGACATCTATAGGATTTAGCCTGCGAGAGAATGAGATAGAATACAGTATACATTATTTATTTCATACGTGGTAGAGCCATGTTGCAGCTATATTAGTAGTATAGTTGTAGCACGAATGGAAATTGTATACTTGGGGAGTGCTTTTAGTCGGGATGGAAGATGTGATTTAGATGTGGACAGGCGTATCGCTGCCGGGAACAAAGTCAATGGTGCCCTGGCTGCGTTAGTCAAAAGGCAAGGCGTAGCGAAGAGTGCACGCCTTGCAATACATAACGCAGTGTTGGTACCGACTTTGTTATATGGCAGCGAAACCTGGGTATGCCAGAAGAAGCATAAAAGTAAGTTGAATGCAGTGGAGATGCGATCTCTTCGTAAAATGTGCGGCGTTACCATGGCCAACCGAAAGCGAAACGAAGAGATTCGCAATATGGCAGGTTTGAAAGATGACCTTATCACAAAAATTGATAAGGGCGTGCTTCGGTGGTTTGGGCACGTTGAGCGAATGAGTGAAGACCGAATGGTGAAGAAAATATATAGCGCGAAAGTTAATATTAAAAGGTGTCGAGGTAGACCGAGACTAACTTTCGAAGACCATGTGAGCAAATTGCTCGAAGAGGGTAGGGTCAAGAGTACTCGGATACCTAGACGTGCATGCATGAAGAAGATAATGAATCTGAAAGAAGCGAAAGAGGTTTGTAAGGATCGTGACACTTGGTGATCTGTTCTCTCTGGCTACCCCGTCAGGGATTGTGCGTGAAGATAAGTAAGTAAGTAAGTAAGTACGAATGGGTCGGCTCGACCGGGGAAGGAGCACGCTCTCACAGAAAACCAGCGTAAAATAGCAGTTTAACGCTGCTGTGTTTCGTATGGTGAGTGTAGAGAACCGGAGACCCTTTTTACTGGAAAAGAGGCATTCAATCTTAGTCCTCACGGGTGACAACGCATCTGCATCTTGAGTCTTTATTGAGGATAGATGTAGATGTCTATGGGTCACAGTAACCACTTACCATCAGGTGGACTGTGTGCTCGTTTGTCACCCTACCTTAAAAAAAATACAGTGTTTCCATATTATGTCGGTCTCCTTTTCGAAGTTGAAAACTTCTTTAGAATCGGTGTGACTTGAAATTCGATGAAACGAATGTAGTGTAGCCCCAACGACGGTATATATTAGTGTTAGTATAAATCAGTAGTATAAAACATGCGGCAGTATACTTAAAGTCTTGAATTGAGAAACACGTCTCCTTTTCTACTGATTTCAAAAAGGAGCCGGTACTCAATTCGACTGTATGTTTTTTATGTGTGTTACCTCATAACTTCTTACTGGGTGAACCGAATTCGATGATTTGTTTTTTATTTGAAAACTGGTGCTTCCCATGTGGTCCCATATAAATTTGGTCAAGGTCTCACAAATAGTTTTTGAGTTATTTTTAATAATTTATATTGAAGCCGGTTGTATAAAATTTTTAATTTTAAATTATCATTCAATACCTTCCACATTACTCTATGAAGCGACACTAAAAAAAAGACAAAAATATACATGTATAGGATTTCGCCTGCGAGAGAATGGGATATAATACACTATATAGTGTTTCCTATTATGTATTAAGTTTATATACACGTGGTATATAGGCAGTAAAGATTAAGGACGTGATAAGAAGGCGAAGATGGATCATTTAATATGAAAAAAAGAACAAGCAATTCTGCAATTGTGCCTCTGCCGGATTGTACACGTAAGCCAATTAAGCATAGATCTCATATTGTGAAATATGCTCATACTTATGAAGCCGGAAAATAAATCTTATACAGTTATTGAGAAGGCATTCCAGCTTGTTCAGAAGATCTTGGGACTGCTAATATATGCATTTATGATGATATTCTTCCGTCGGTTATATTTTTATGAAAAAAAGGTGACAAACGAACACATAGTCCACCTGATGGTAAGTAGATACTGTGGCCCATAATATACATCTATCTTCGGCTAATAATCAAACTATGAGAACGATCCTCACAGAATACCAGCGCAAAATAGCATCTCCGTGCTGCTGTGTTTCATATGGTCAGTGTAGAGAACCAGAGACCCTTTTTACTGGTAACTAGGTATAGGTACCATTTTAATTCTTAGGGGTGATAACGCATCTGCAATTTATTTCTTAACCGAGGAATGGTATAGATGTATATAAGTCAAAACCAGGTGGACCGTGTGAGCATTGATATGTTTTTTGGTAAATGATGCAGCAGAAGCTGGTGGTAAAACGCAATGACCCAACAAAAGCCTATTCGCTCTTACCTTGAAACCATTGTAATTGGATGGAAAGACAGATGCTGGTAGCCTAGAGCAACCATCTCATCCGATAGATACGTAAGAGGGGACTTAGGGAAACGCCTAGTAGGTCTTGTGACTTTCGATAGATGCGGCTTAGCTATCTCTAATTTATTCCAGACATCTGGTAGGTGCATGTCTGGTACTGCTCTACAAGCCAAGCGTAGTGGTTAAAGCAAATCATATAATAAGAGAGAGAGAGAGAGAGAGAGAGATTCCCACTAACAAATAAATGTACACTTAGGTTTCGACGAGCCGACTGGCACACAAGTACCCTCAATGTTCCTTAATTTCGTCGGGTCGAGCATTGACTGGGGATACCACACGGAGCCCGAGCCCGCCGCTTGCCTCGGCGAGAAAGAAAGTCGCTGTTATTGGCCCAGAGGAAAGGTAAGGAATACAAAGTTTTTATTAATTAAATTAGATATGCAAGAGCAAACCTGCAACTATATTATGCTTGTACCACGTATGGGTTGGCCCGACCGAGGTGGAACTACGCTCTCACAGAATACCAGCGTAAAATAGCAGCTTAATGCTGCTGTGTTTCGTATGGTGAGTGTAGAGAACCGGAGAGCCTTTTCTACTGGAAGTGAGATCTTAGCCCTCAGGGGTGACAACATATCTGGATTTTGATTCTTAATTTAGGGTAAAAGTAGATGTATGTGAACTACAGCAACCACTTACCATCAAGTGGACTGTGTACTCGATTGTCACTTTTATTCCATAAAAAAAATCTGCAGTTCATGAAACGGGTCGGTAGCGCAGACCGACTCCTATCACATCTATCTTCGTTTAGTTTGTCTAGACCGCTACATTTCAACAGTTAAGCCGAATATAGCGATTGCGGCTAGAAGAAAATTCGGTCCACCACATCCTGCAATCAACCGGAGCTTAGGGCAACCCACAGGGGTGTATAACCATAGTATTGTGTATGTGCCCTAAGCTTTTGATTGAGGCACTCCGGGGCTACGAACAAAGAATAGTTATTATTATTAACTACTGGGATTCTAAATCTAGCACGGAACGAGTGCTTGTATGTAGTGTGATCTATAAACAATTGTTCCGTTTATAAAATACCCCTACGGTACCAGCAAACATCCTAGTGTTTTTTTAATATAACTAGAAGTGCAGGTTTCTTCTTATTTCCTGAGAAGGTCTATAGAGCAATAGTCCTTCGCAGTGTTCCAGTACGTATGGCGAAAATATTAAAATTACTTAAGGCACTCGAGTCTACCCAAGATATATTCTTTCACCAATGAGCTTGATAAATTAGTATTCAATTTACATATGTTAAAATTAACCAGAAAAGATCTGAAAAAAATGATAAGTCTTACCTAGTTTGAAGAGCACCTCTCGTTCTCCCTCTATTGCATCTACTATCACCGTCACCACTATTCCCAACAGAAACAGAAACTTTTTTTATTCAATATCTTTATATATATAAATTACGTGTCACGTTGTTTGTTCGCGATGAACTCCTAAACTACTGAACTGATTTCAATGAAATTTTGAACACTGTGTACAATTTGGTCCAACTTGAGAGATAGGGTAGTTTTTATCCCGTGACCCTCAATTTTTTTTATTGCTAATTTTAGGAGTTTTTTTTAGGAAAGCAAATGGTTGTTCGGAAAGGGCAGAACAACGTCTGCCTGGTCATCTAGTAGATATATAAATAATACTTTTTTAAAGTCTCTCTTTTGTTTAATTACCACTGGTTCGAAAAAAAAAACCTCTGTCCTGAGAAGAACCAGCAAGAAACCCAGCGGGACTCTTTTTTTTAAATAACAGCTTACAATCATGTATGTTACAAAAACTAACAACACAACAAATTAGAAATAGCTTGGTAGCGATCATCTCATTTCCATGGGTTATTATCATCCATAATTTTAGTACGTAGTTAGTAGTAGTTTAGTACACCAGTACACTAAGAAAGACACCACAGATACAACACGTGTTTCTCCTCTAAATAAGGCATCATCAGGAGAAATAGAATCCGCGTTGGTTGACCGCTAATATCTTAAGATCCAGCCTATCAACTACCATAGCTGTATAAAAATTTGCAAACAGATGTATACTAATAGATTCACCGGTATTTGGTGTGCGCTAAAACAGTCTCTTAAAACACCCACTAGACGATATGGGGAAGTGGATATTCTTACATTACCACCTTTTCTTTATAGGATAGGGTGACAAACGAGCACACAGTTCACCTGATGGTAAGTGGTTGCTGTGACCCATAGACATCTACATCTATCCTCAATAAAGAATCAAAATGCTGATGCGTTGTCATCCGTGAGGACTAAGATGGAATGCCTCTTTTCTAATAAAAAGGGTCTCCGGTTCTCTACACTCACCATACGAAACACAGCAGTATTAACCAGCTATTTTACGTTGGTATTCTGTAAGAGCGTGGTCCTTCCCCGGTCGAGCAGACCCATTCGTGCTACAACTATACTACTAATATAGCTGCAGCATGGCTCTACCACGTATGAAATGATATGGACGGTAAATGCTATGATAATAAATAAAACGGACACATTGCTTTATTAATTAATCATATAATAGTATTTGCACTTGTGAGCCAGAAAAGGTCCAGAAGCTGAAGGTAAGTACACATACTATTGAGAAAGCACATATTTATATTCGCTCTTGTACACCTATGGCGGTCGACCCAGGCTTCACGGGCCTAAGTGAGGGAGATTATGTTCAGCAATTAGACTATTTAAAAACAGATTATATTTGTGAAGGAGAGGTAAGGTTACAGAATCGAACAGTGATGGCTCGCGTATTGTGAAATTTGTAGCGAGAGCCTGGCCCCTGAGCTGCCACAGCTTTAACATTTAAATAGGCATATTCCGAAACCTGTTCTTGCATTGGCCTTAATGTATGATATGTATGTACATAAAAACATAAAAAATAGCTTTAATAAGAATAAGGATGTTCATGCCTTAAATACTAGGAATAAACATAAGCTTGTAATGCTAGTTAATAGACTCCACAGAATTAGTAATTCATTTATGGGACAATGTATACGCTTTTACAACAAAATCCCAGAACATGTTCAAAGATGTCAATAAACAAGTTCAAAAGTTTTATTAAAAAAAACTGTACAAAAAGGGTTATTATAATATCAAGGAATACATGAATGAAAATAACCCCTGGGAATAAGGTGATCGCCACCATGCTGATTCTATGAAAATTCATTTATAATTATTGTATAAACAAAATTATTGTTAAGTGAAATTATGTTTAAAAAAAGTCCCACTGGGTTTCTTGCTGGTTCTTCCCAGGACAGAGGTATTTTCCGAACCAGTGGTAAATAAATAAAAAATGACTTTCAATAAGTATTATGTAATAATCAATATTTAATAAAAATCATTCTATTCTATTCTATTCTATGACCAGCCTATTTTCTTGTAGGTACTTGGCGGCACTTCGGTGATGAACGGCATGATGTACATCCGCGGCTCCCGCAAGGACTACGACAGCTGGGCAGCGGCCGGTATAGAAGGCTGGTCCTACGATGACGTGCTACCCTACTTCCTCAAGTCAGAAGATAACAAGCAGGTCGATGAGATGGACCCAGGCTACCACGCGACTGGTGGACCGCTTACAGTTTCACAGTTCCCTTACCATCCACCGCTGAGTTACAGCTTAGTGGAAGCTGGGGAAGAACTAGGTATGCAGCAGTATTCCTTGGAGAGACAAAAAAAATAGTCTGTTCAAAATACATTTACATACATTTTTTACAGAATAAGGGTGACAAACGTGCACACAGTCCACCTGAGGGTAAGTGAATGTGGCCTATAGACATCTACATTTATCCTCGATTAAGAATCAAAGTGCAGAAGTGTTGTCACCCTTGAGGACTATGATGGAATGCATAGTTTTCACTAAACAGGATCTGCGGTTTTCTACACTTGCCATACGAAATACAGCAGCATAAAGCTGCTATTTCACGCTGATATTCTGTGAGAGCGTTGTCCTTCCTCGGGTTAGCCGACCCATTCGCAGCAGCATAATATAGCTGCAGCGTGGCTCTACCACTATCACTGGATACTGGATCGGGACGTTCTGCCATAATCAGGGTGTACGGCAACGCTTTACCAGATGTTTTCGCAAATGTTATTTTTGCGTTTGTTACAAAGACATACGTCAGTTGTGAATCGATTTTGATGATTCTCGATGACAGAAGAATCACAATCCACTATTTAAGTCATCATAAAGCTCATCTTCAGCTACATTTTTAATTAGCTTAAAAATAATGGAGTGTTATCAGTCCCCTTCAGTCCACCCGTGACCATGGGTGCTTTAAAACATCAGAAACGTTGAGAATTATTAAGTTTAATTAAACACGATAAAATAAATGGTAGAGCCACGCTACAGCTATTATAGTTGTAACACAAAGAGGTCAGCTCGACCGGGGAAGGACCACGATCTCACAGAATGCCCGTGTAAAATAGCATCTTAATGTTGCTGTGTTTCGTGTGGTGAGTGTAGAGAACCGAAGACATTTTTTAGTAGAAACGATGCATCATAGTATTCAGGGGTGACAACACTTCCGTATTTTGATTTTGAATCGAGGATAAATCTAGATATCTATGAACCACAGTATTCACTTACCATCAAGTGAACCGTGTGCTTGTTTGTCGCCCTTTATCCAGAAATTAGTTTATTTAATGTGTAGTATTCGCTAAAATATTATAATATCATAATGGTGTGTTATGTTACGCAATATCTACGTTGATTGTCTAGGTTGGTCATGTAGAAAGAATGAAAAAGAAAAGAAACAAAGCTGTTGCAGAATTGAACGGCACAGTCGGCAAGGGACGCTCTACATAGAAGTTTATTGACCAAATTGGCGATATGTTGAAAATAGGCCAAATCAAGAGTACCCTTAAGCGGCGAGCACTTATGCGTAGATATATGGATGTAAAGGAGGCGAAAGAGGTGTGTCAGAGTCGTGTCAAATGGAAGTCAGTAGTCTATGCCCACATTTCTGGGTGAGAAGCGTGAGTGTTTATGCTATGATTTTATGGTATTGTACAGGTTATAGCGCGCGGGATCTAAACGGCGAGAAACACAGCGGGTTCATGATCGCGCAGACGACGAACCGCAACGGGTCGCGGCTGAGCGCGGCGCGCGCGTTCCTGCGGCCCGCGCGGCGCCGCGCCAACCTGCACGTGCTGCTCAACGCGACAGCCACGCGCCTGCTCGTCGACCGCACCACGCGCCACGCGTACGCCGTGCAGCTGCGCGACAGCTTCGGACGAATGCAGACTGTGTACGCGAACAATGAGATTATACTCAGGTACGCATGCACACATTCATTTTTAGGCCAATGTCACAAGAATTGGGGGTTATGTAACGCGATACGTACGTTAATTGTAAATCAATTTTGAAGATCCTCTGACATCGAGACCGTTTACATCAACAACAGGTACGTCTGCACGCACTCGTATTCATTTTCCGTCGACTTAAAGGACCAAACTGCATTAAGCAGCATGTGCAGATTCCCTTCGCATCGGTCACGCGCCGGTTGATTGAGAGCACTACACGACACGCTTACGGAGTGCAGCTGCGGCGTTGCTTCGGCCGTATGCAAACCGTATACGCGAACAACGAGATCATACTCAGGATAATACAAACAATTGCTGAGTAAAATGGAATGCCTTGTTTCTATTAAAAAGGCTCTCCTGTCCCCTACACTCACCGTACGAATCACAGCACCATGAAGCTGCTATTTGACGCTGGTGTTCTGTGAAAGCGCGATCCTTTCCCTGTTGAGCCGATCCATTCGAGCTACAACAATAATAAAGCTGCAGCGTGGACCACGTAGAATGTAGAGTGGAGAGAGCAATGGCTTTTAGAAGCTAAGAATAAATTACAATTTATAAAAAGTTAGGAAACACACAAAAGATAAAAGCTTATTTTATTTCATCCTGGTGATCCTTATCAGAATACTGGAATAAAGTTATTAAATTATTGTTTTGTCATCGGTCCTTGATACGAGTGCAAATTCCCACGCCAATCAGCCGTCTACAAGGTGGTGAATATTACAATAAAAGAGTCCGTTACATAGGTTGTTCGCGCCAAATTAGCGTTTCAAGAATTAACGCGAGAGGGCGCTCGGCGCGGTGCATTCATACCGGTTTGACTTTCGGTCGTGCGTAGACGCGCAAGTGCAGTAGTCGTCTGTCAGCGGGGCTAACGTTAGCACACTGTCAATTTTGTCGGGAACTCGGAATAATTAGGCGCGGCCAGTAAATATACGGTCTAGGATTTGTGACGCGCATTCCTGCTGGAGAGCTTCCCAGGGACTCATTGTGTCTGACTCAGAATCTGCATAAGTGCATTCGGCAATATTAGCTAGTGCGGCCTTTGATATTCTAGAAATAACTGTTGCTACGCGAAACGGTAGTGACCTTTGATCCGGACACTCCGTGTGCGTTTTGTGCGTTAACCTTATACCCAACGAGAGTTAGTGGCTTCTGTAAGTTAGTTAATCGTACGATAGAGTTACTGTCATCGTGACGAACGAGGAAAGTGACTGTGGACAACGCCGCGGAAGGTTCCCTCAATTTGGAGCGGTGTCGACGCCCGGGCTGCTGCCGACGGCCAAGGTCTAGGGTCAATCACCATCAGTCACACCCAGATACACATCACATCACCTTATTTCCCTTGCACTACACAACCACATGCGACCTGACCGACTCCGGAGGGACCAGTCGCCTTGGATATAGGTAAGTAAGCTCCGTCTAATATCCTCCCGGTCGACTGGCCGTAGTATAGAACACTCCCCCATATAGTTTAGTGTAATTAGAGATTTTCCACTTTGGCCTGGAGGAGGCCCGACCTGCATCTGCCTGTAGGTTCTTCCTACCATGAGCCCGGGAGGATCCTACTATTAGATAGGCAGCTGCACGCCGTAACATAGGTAGATGACGCGAAGCTAATAAAAACGTTAATGCAAACAACTTTTATGGATTTTATCGCGTTTATTTTTGTTTACTAATAATTCCCGACGTTTCGGATACTTTACACATTGTCACGGAGAGACTGAGAACTCGGCCACCTCAAGTTTTTGAACATTAATTGGACGTAGTTATGCAAAAAGGATCCAACCCGCAATAAGTTAATTTGAGTTTATGATATTTGAAGTATCCATACTTCAAAAATCATAAACTGAAATTATCGGTATGGTTTCTGTCTGTTTGTAATTTGTCTTCTTATTTGTGTTACGTTTGCTAAAATTGTTACATCACGTAATAGTATAGACCACAAACATTATTTTTTAAGTCAACATTTTTGACACAAACTCGGGTTGGATCCTTTTTGCATAACTACGTCCAATTTTTGATCCGTTAATACGGAGATCTACGCTGAAACGTTGGGAATTAAAAAAAGTTAAAGTTAAACGCGACAAAATCCGTAAAATTAGTTTCATTTAAATTTTAAAATGTAGCATTCGCGTAAATATAAGAAATTATTATGTAATAAAAGTGTGTTAAAAAGAAGAATACTGATAAATGATTGTCGTCATTCGTCAGCGCCGGAGCTGTCGCGTCCCCTCAACTGCTGCAGCTGAGTGGCGTGGGCGACCCGTCGGTGCTCGCGCGCGTCGGCGTCCCGCTCGTGCACAAGTTGCCGGCCGTGGGCAGGAACCTGCACAACCACGTCACGCACTTCGTCAGCTTCACAATCAACGACAACGACACCTCGCCGCTCAACTGGGCCACCGCCATGGAGTACCTGCTGTTCAGGGACGGACTCATGTCCGGCACGGGTACGGCATTAACAGTTTAACAGTGCAATCTTGTTTTATAGAATATGGACGTCAAACGAGCACACAGTCCACCTGATGGTAAGTGAATGTTGTGACCTATAGACATCTACATCTATTTTCGATTAAGAATCAAAATACAGATGCGTTGTCATCCCTGAGGACTAAATGGAATGCCGCGTTTGTAATAAAAAGGGTCTCCGATTCTCGACACTCACCATACGAAACACAGCAGCATAACGCTGCTATTTTAGGCTAGTATTCTATGAGGGCGTGGTCCCACTCCACGAGCAGACCCATTCGTGCTACAACCATAGTATACGTTTTTACTACTACGTTTAAACCAGTACTAGTCTGTCTATCCACCACTGTCAATCTTTCTCTTCGAATTTTGTTTTCGTATTTCATTTGTTTTTATGTGGTTAGCCACTCACTGTGAACTTCACAGTACGCGAGCAACCCGGGTTCGATTCCCGCCGATACCTATGAATTTGTTAATTGCAATTTTAAATTCTGAATTACCACGTGCTCAGCGGTGAAGGAAAACATCGTGAAGAAACCTGCCAGTCCGAGAAATACATGCATACATAAACACTCACGCCTGTCTCCCAGAGGGGTAGGCAGAGACTATGGGCTTCCATTTCGGACGATCCTAGCACACCTCTCTCGCATTCTCCACATCCATATACCTACACATACATGCTCGTCGGGTAAGGATACTTTTATTTTGGGCAATTTTCAATATATAATCGCCAATTTGATCGATAAACTTTCGCCTAGGGCGCCCCTTCCCGACTCTGCCGTTCACTTCTGCAACATAAATTTGCTTTGTCACTCACAAACCGAAGCATTCCTTTCTTAATCCTGGTCACAACACCATCTTGCAAACCACCCTATTCTCTGACCACACAATTTCTCACCCTGTCATTCAGATTCAGCCCTAAAATACTCCTTAATGATCGCATTTCTACAGCATTTATTCCACTCACGTGCTTCTTATGCCACTCCCAATTTTCACTACCATACATTAAAGTAGGGACTAACACAGCATTGTGAATTGCCATACGTGCTTTTTTGGACACATTCTGGCTTTTCACAATAGAGTGTAGGGCCCCAATTACTCTATTTCCCGCGTTCACTCATCGTTCTATGTCCTTATCATATCATCCCTGCTAAATACATATCTCAAATACACAAACTCATCTACTTGCTCGACCAACTCCCCTTCTATTTTTATTCCACATATCGTTATATTGTACTTTCTTCTATTTCAAAAACCATAACTTACGTCTTACTTGCGTTCACTTTCATTCCCCTTTCTATTAATGACTTGTTCATCAATGTCACCATCATTTGCAACTCGGCCGCCGACGATGCAAATATGACTTGATTTATCAGCGTACAAAAGGCATTTGACGATTAACTCACTCATTCTTAACCCGCATTCGTCAACTTTCAAATTTTCCAAACAACTGTCCATAAATAGGTAGAACAGCCAAGGGGATCCACACAGCCCTGACCGACACCTTTATAGATGCCAAATCAGTCCGAGTAGACGCCGTTGATTCTGACACAAGCACTAGTTTCACTGTAAAGAGACTTTAATGCCTGTATCAAACCAGCGCTCAACCCAAATGAGATCATTGTTGGCCATAACACCTCCCTATCCACTCTGTCATAAGCCTTTTGCAAGTCCATGAACGCACAAAAAACTTTTTGGTTTTCGGCCAAAAACTTCTCTTTGATCATGCGCATGGAAAACACTTGATTCGTACACCCCATTCCCTTTCTAAATCCCACTTGCATATCCCAAATTTTTCCATCAGTTTCTTTCATAACTCTTTCAATTAGTACCTACCTTAGTAGTTTTAGTCGTGCTACGAACCTTTTCCCTTATATATTGGGACTATTACGGCTTTGCACCAGTCTCCCGGTACCCGCGTCAGTTCCCAACATAAATAAAACAAGGCGTACAGCCGGCCTGCTACCACTCCCTCTCCAGCCCTTAGCATTTCAAGGGATACTCTATCATATCTATACTTATCTCCCTATCTCTTTCCTCTTCTTTCGGAATTTCTATTTCATTTAATTCATACGTCTCCTCACTCATAAACACACTTTCAAAGTATTCCTTCCATCTCTTTAAGCTCGAAACTTCGTCAATCAGAATACAGCCATTCGGTCTCGTATAGCATTCATTCTAAGTTGTTTTGAATTTCTCCTGGTTCTTACGAGTTTCCGAGTAGGTTATCCGGTATTCTTCTATCATTCTTATCCGTTCTTTCTTGCTTTTTCCTTTCAACTAATTCTTTTACTGTCTTAGTTAGACGTCTAAAGACTGCCTTTTTTCTTTCAACGTCATCATTCATACTGCTAGAACTAGCCTTGGTTACTAGTAAATATAGCCATGCTCTCTTATTTGATTTAACTTGCATCCGTACCTCATTACCCCGGCATAATGTATTATATTTCCTTTCATTCTTTCTCTTACTTACACTACATAATTCGGTAGCTGCTGTCTCCAAGTCTAAATCATTAGACGTGGAGCGTAGATCCCTAGAACAAACACCTTCTTTAAGCCCACTTTCATTCGTATCCATAGCAGTCTCGGGCTTACACATTCATACTCTTTCACACAATGATTCATTCTTTTTGAAAGGATGATACCGACTTCCTGGCATGCCCGCTCGGTCTCATCTATACCAGACGCGTATATATGCAATGTGTGGCATTTTGTCCCTTACGTTTTGTCTCATTTACACGTAGCACATCTATTCCTCTATCACACATCATATCGTATACTTCATCCGTCTTATTATTCATTGCTCCATACATACAGCGTAGGCAGGCGGGCTTCCGCAATCCCCTTTTTGCCTCTCCGGGAGACAACGTGACGGGTGGCAAACCTCGTTGCGGATTTTCTTCACAGAGATTCTACGCACCCGTGTCCCATTAAAGGGGCGCCAGGAACTCGGGGCCATTTCTTTTCTTCTTTGCTTCATGGTGCGAAACTAGGGATGGCATATTTTATGCGGCTACCACACCGCGAGGAGCCGAGTCTGTCTTTTCGAATTTGTCGCTCGTTTGACACCACCCGGGGGATACTGTAGGGCGGGCCTAGGATTAAGTGGTCGAAGCCTACGGACGCGAGCGACTCATTCCCCATCTAAGAAATAAAAAATAATATTTAGAAGACATGTAAAGTTCGCCAACACGTATTGGGGCAGCGCGGTGGACATTCCTAATTGCGTTCTTTCATACTGCGAAACATTTTGCCAACTTTTGAATTTGTGTTTATTTAGGTTTAGGTTTTGTTTAAGCTTTTGCCTAGACGGCCTTGTTTATAATGTTAAGTGTGAATTGTAACTAAAAATTTTTGGAAGAGTATGTAGTGCCATTTGCCTCTTTTATAGACGATAGATTTGTTTTTATATATGATAACGCCCATACTGCGGCCGTAGTTGAAGAATACCTTCGAGATGTTGAAATCAATGCTATGGGGTGACCAGCGGGCTCGCCTGATTTAAACCCCATAGAGCATGAATGGGATAAGCTTCAGACAAATTAAGAAAAAAAAACCCTGCCCCCGCTAATTTTAGAGATCTTAAAAACGCATTACAGTAATAATAAATCGTAATTTCTCAATATTTTATTGATAAATTGATTAGGAGTATGCCAGGAAGATTGGAAGCAGTTCGAAGAGATGGCAACACTTTGTACTAATTATAGCTCTCCTAATAGCCTCGTTATTAGTCTGCAAAACGATTAGGACACGAGTACCCTTAACAGGTGGACGTGAATGAAAAATGTGATAAGAGATTGAGGGCGATGTACGAGTAATCAAATAGACGATTATTTTTCGTTTTGAGACCTCCGCGCGCGTACCCGTTTAAGGCCCCTAGGCACGTGCCTAGTTTGCCTTAACCACAATCCGCCACTGCGTATATAGGCTGTAACTTAAGGTAAAGTTCTCTTAGTTAAAAGTCTAAAGTTAGGTTTCTCCATGTTTTCCTTCATCGCCGAGCACGTGGTTAATAACACACAAAATTGCAACCAACAACTCATTGTTGCAGTGATTGAACTTGATTTTTAAATTAAAACAAATTATATGGATTTTATCACGTTTAATTTAACTTAATTACCGATGTTCATAGGTATTCGTATAAATATAATAAATTGTTATGTGAAGTCGTTTTGCTCAGAAGTTCTTATTCCTTTAATACTACCACAACAAGACCTCGAAACGTAGTTCATATTTCCTTCTAGGCATTTCTGAAGTGACTGGATTCATAAACACGAAGTATGCGGACCCCGCGGGCGACAACCCGGACATCCAGCTGTTCTTCAGCGGCTACCTGGCGGACTGCGCCAAGACCGGCATGGTCGGGGAGAGTCGTGGAAACGGCTCTAGGACTATCCAGATGTTCCCCGCCGTGCTACATCCCAAGAGTAGAGGCCGGATAGAGATCGCCAGCAATGATCCGTTTGCTCCACCAAAGATTTATGCCAAGTGAGTCGCCTTGCAAATTTAAAAAAATGCAATAAAATCGATCTAATTACGTAACTACTCGTATACGTAGTTCACTCAATAAGTATTGAGGTGTTCGAAATTTAAAAATGGAACGCACCCGTGTTATATGTAAGTCATCCACCCTACAGCCCTGACTTAGCTCCATGTGATTTGTTTTTGTTCCCAAGTCAACGAAAAAATAAAAAACCAAGTTTTTTTTTCTAGCGCCGAAGAAGTCGTGGCTGCCTACGAAGAAGCGATTTCCGACCTTTCAGATTAAGACTGGCAAAAGTATTTTCAGAGTTGGTTTAGGCGAATGGAACATTGTATAGAGCATGATGGAGAATATTTTGAAAAGATGTCAAATAAATATTAATAACATCTTGAAAACTTTTTGTATATCTTAAAACTTATTGAATGTCCGTACCATAGAATTATTACGCATAGAATACTAGTACGCGCACCGAAAGTGAAGCAAGTCAAACTAACGCGAAACCGCGTTAGTTGACTCAGCGACGCGTCAGTGCGCAACGTCACGTCTTACGGAGAAGAGCTCGCGAAGAATTGTGAAAATTACCGTTTGTGTTGTAAAATATTATTACAACGATGATGATAAACATAAAAGAAGTGATGGTATTACATTTCACATATAAGTTTATACATTTAATTCATTATAAGTACGTAAAACTAAAAAAATACTTACCTAAGCTCTCATAATACAAATGTTGCTAGTTGTGGGGAAAAAATCACAATTTTCTTTTAAAAATATTTATTTTGTATTTGTGTTTAAAACGTTTAATCGCAACGCTCTGTGTAAAACTCAAATGTTTATATATAGATACCTACTTCTTTAAGTGTTAACATTATATTAACAATGGGTGCCTATTTAAAACTAATACGGAGTGATCAGCTAATCGCGATTCGTCGACGCCATTTTAACGCAACTATTTTATTTTAATTGTTTTGTTTATTTACTTAGGCTAAGTTTTAGAGTACAGAATAAAAACTTTTTTATTTACAACATCAAGAGATTATTAATAAGAACGCCTTTAGTAACCAGATGCCACTTTACACCCAAACATTAACCTGATGTTACGTTAGACCCAAACATAGCCTATTTTAACCGACTCCCAAAAAGAAAGGTTATCAATATGTATGTACACTGATTTCTAAGCTTGATCAATTCGTATATACATGCTGAAATTTTAGTGGTTGTTGTCCCGCAGCCAAATTATACTGTCTCGATAGTAGAGTCAATTTATTAAATTAAAAAACATTACAATTAAAAAAGGGCAGATTTACAATAGTAATACCTCACAAACTAGTCGGGCGTCCAGACTAGTTTATGTCGTGTCACTACGCTTGAGAGTTCATGTTATGAACATTTATTAGTGGCCCTTCACTTTGTAGGAAGCGGTAGCGCGTGTGAAAAACTTAACACAACATTACGTCCAGTGAATTTTTTTTCAGACTTTATTATAGTAATTCGGTATAAGCCAGCCTGCACGCCCGACCTACTTGCGAGATATTACTGTTTGGTTTATGATCGCATTCGAGTTTTGTTTTTCTCGATTGTAAATCTGCCATTTTTGCATCCTAATAATTTTTACTTTATTAAATCTATTGTACTACTAAGGCTAAATCATTTTACTTCGGGAAAACAACCATTAAAATTTCAGCGTGTATATTGGATCAATCTGTGTGTATATCCTTTCATATAAAAAATCTAAATCGGTTTAGAAATTGTAGAATTCTGAGGTAAAAATCATTAAAAAATACACCGAATTGATAACCTCCTCCCTTTTTGAAGTCGGATAAAATTAAACATTACCCGATGTGCTTATTATATTCGAGCAAATTAATTGTGTTTAAAATATTCTTAAATTTTATTACGTCTGCATTTTTGTACCATTAATATATGTATAATAAAGTTATATTAGTACCATTATTATCGTGTTTATTTTATTCCATTTTATATTCTCATAAAATAGATCTTCGTACGTAATACGTAATCTTTATTATATCGGTTTTTTAAAATTGATCAAAAAATAGTTATTTGCACAATTTGATTGCAAACGCCAGAAACTGGTATCACTGAATGACGTGTATGTCTGCGTGTGACGAGCGTAGGCACATTCGACTCGCGCCCACTAACATAATGACTTTGCATCATTTTAACGCTCGTGTTTTGTACTAGACTGCGTTTCTATGCGTAATAATTCTATGGTCCGTACGTATAATCATAAAGTTAAGAAAAACACAGACACTACAAAAATACATTTGTTTTCTGTCGTTATAATATTTTAGTGTTTTGTGAACCCTCTAGTTTAGAATTAGATTCAGACGTGGAAGAGCCATTCTGCAGCTATATTATGGTTGTAGCGCGAATGGGATGGCTCAATCGGCAAAGGACCAAACTCTCACAAAATACCCAAAAATACATATAAAATAGCAGCTTAATGCTGTTGTGTTTGGTGTGGTACGTGTAAAGATTCGAGACCCTTCTTATTGGAAACGGCACATTCCATCTTAGCCCTCATGGATGACAATGCATCTGTGTGTGAACGATGTGATGATAGATGTAGATGTACATGGACGCTAATAATATCCACTTATCATCTGTTCGACTGTGTGCTCGTTAGTCACCTTCATTCTATAAAAAGTTTCGAAATATTAGTATATTTAAAACTTTAAAAAAAAATTGTAATGTTTCAGCTACCTAACTCACCCGGACGATGTGAAAACGCTCATAGAAGGTATAAAGTTCGCAATTAAACTGTCCGAGACAAAAGCCCTCAAAAAGTACGGCTTCAAGCTGGACAAGACTCCGGTGGCCGGCTGCGAGAAGTTCAAGTTCGGTTGCGACGCGTACTGGGAGTGCGCTGTGAGGATGCAGACTGGTCCAGAGAATCATCAAGCAGGTTCCTGCAAGATGGGGCCCAGAGGCGATCCTACTGCTGTCGTTGATCATTTGCTTCAGGTAAATAAATATCATGTCATTAACGGTGTAAAGGAATCGATTACCACATTATGACATTATGGGAAATGCCAAAAAGATGTCATAGCTTCCAAGAGATGGTGTTAGAATACCATCTTGTTGATGTAGACGTGAAATACTAAGACCAATGACGACATAATATTCAAAGGTGCGATATATAGGAGACTTGCACTTCACATATACACACACACGCGCGCGCGCGCAAGTTACCACATGCACGCACGCACGTACGCACGCAGGCACGCACGCACAAATACACATGCACATTTTACATACTACGCTATACACTATATACACCACTAACACAACACCACACTGACCATAATACTTACCAGTTGGTCTGCTACACTTGCTACACCATGATAGTAATTTTCCGTCTGGGGGTGACCGTTGGCCTGCGATCGCACCGCCCCCATATCTCTTTAATCAGTCACTCGAACGCTAAGATGAGCAGAAATTGTAGTTTTGTATACCTAGATTGTTTTAAGCTTGTCTATCTCCATCTTATTTATTTACTAACTGTTCCCAGCGACATCGCCCGCGTGTAATTTAGGGATTTAATTATGTTGCGCGGAACCTTAATTCTTTTTCTAAAATATAAGTAGCTGTTAAGTACTCCTTATAACATCAGCTATCTGCCAATGAAAGTTCCATCGAAATCGGTCTAGCCGTTTCGGATATTAGCCGGAGCAAACAGACAGACAGACAGAAATTTTAAAAATTGTGTTCTTATTATAAGTACTGTATATATTTTCGTATTAGTAAAAAGCTGTTATTTTGACATTACAAACAGACACCTCAATTTTATTTATTTGTATAAATATAGATTTATTATTTATTGTATTCCTTAAAACAAAAGAATACAAATCAGTCAACTCATGGAGTGGTAAGAGGTGAGGTTTGTGTAGAATAAAAGTGTATAGAATAAAATTCTAAAAATCTAACCGAAATCTCTAACTAAAAATGTTTTGTAATAATAATTGAAGACGTGTCGTGTCGTGTCGTGATGTGTCGTGTTGTGTCGTGACGTGTCGCATTTTCGGGTCTTTTGTTTTTTGCGTAGATGAAGGTGACAAGTCGATAAAAAATTACTACAGAACTTAAAACCGTTGACTTAAGGCACATTTTGAAAATATAATGTTAATAAAGGTGTTATGTTCAGTTCAGTTTGAAAATGGCACTGGATGAAAGAGATATGGGCCCATATCACCGCCTTCCAGATAAATAAAGTAAAAACTTTGTTTTTCTATCGTGGAAGGTGATATGTACGTACATAATAACTTCTTTCACTCAGCTTACGATAGTCGAAATACGCGACGTCACTTTTCGGTGAATGAAAGTGTTATGTGACGTTTCCATTCATTCACGACATTCTTTTCATTCTGTCACATTCTGGCGCGCTTTTTAATAATGTGCTTAGCTGCTTAATATGGCTGTGTATGAAGAAAAATATTGTTTAAAATACTTAATTGATATTGGTTAAGTGAAAAAGCAATGTCAAGAGCCAAAATAAGAGCAAATTACTGGTGGAAGCTGATGTTGGTCACCCACAAAAAATCGACACAATGATGTTTACAAGGATCATAACCTCAAAAATATTAAAATTAAGTAAGTTGTGTTCTTTCATAACTTGATAAATTTTTGACATTACAGTACATACCTACACAACATATTATTATGATTTATTGAAGTTTTCTGCTGAACTGGAAGTGGTCATAATGGTCTATAAACAGTTTTATTTTTATAGAATAAGGGTGACCAACGAGCACACTGTGCACCTGAATGGAATGCCTCCTTTACATTAAAACGGGTCTCCGGTTCTCTACACTCACCATACGAAACACAGCAGTATTAAGCTGCTATTTTACGCTGGTATTGTGTGAGAGCGTGGTCCCTCCCCGGTCGAGCCAACCCATTCATGCTACAACCAATATTATGGTTGTAGCATGAATGGGTTGATGAATGGGCACTACACCAGCGTGGCGTGTGGTGTGGTAGAGCGTGTGGCGTGTGGCGTGGTAGAGCCACACTGCAGCTACATAGCTGCAGTGTGGCTCTACCACGTAAAAATTAAAATTATTATTCACTTATATCTTTGCTTTTATATGTATGTACGGTTTTGCATGTAGTTATGACGTATTTTTAGGGTTCCGTACCCAAAGGGTGAAAACGGGACCCTATTACCTCAGCCTACGATGTATCTCTGTCTGTCTGTGCGTCTGTCTTTCCGTCTGTCTTTCCGTCCGTCTATCCCTTTGTCAGAGGATTTTCTCTGCCGTTTGAAGAGTTAGACAGTTATTGTGTATGGATGAAATATGCGTCATAGTGCCCTCTACTACGGCATATACTAAAAACTTTAAAAGTTTGATCCTGAGGGGGGCATACAACAATCTGTCAAAAAAATCAAATAGGTCAGCCGCACTTTTCCGATTTTTTTTTCAAAAACTTTTATCTGTGATATTTCTTTTCATTTAAGTGGTGCTTTCTTTTCGCATGCTATCTTCTATGTGCTTAAGCCATTTCTTATCTGACGTAGGAAAGCTATGTCCTGCGCCAGATCCTCAAAATGAATGCATCGACAGATATGAAAATAGTGAGCCTTCTACTAGCGATCAAGACAGAAGTTTTGGCAGCACATGATCATTTCTTGTCCTCTAATTGACGCAGATTTGGATTATAGAGAATTCGGCAACCTTTTGAGTCGGAGGGGCCAAAAATTACAATTTACTAAATTTCAAAGTTTTTAAAGAGCCACAATTTTTTTTCTTGCCAACCATAAATAGTACTTCCACAAATAAAGTTTCTTGATAAAAAGAACTAACAGCCTTTCACAAGTCTACTGCTGAAACTAGGCCTCCCCCAAGGAATGCCACAAAGCACGGTCCTGAGCCACCTGCATCCATCGACTTTCTGCATGTCTTACCAGGGCATCACTCCATCTAGTGGGGGGGGGGGTCGCCCTACACTTCACCTACCGGTACGAGGCTGCCTCTCGAGAACCTTTGTTCCCGATCGGTTGTCGGTTCTTCGAGCTATATGGCCGGCCCATTGCCACTTCAGCTTACTAATCCGTTGGGCTATGTCGGTCACTCTAGTTCTACTGCGGATATCCTCATTGAGCGACCTTGAACTTCTTCAGCAGTGAAGGACCACGTCTCAGATCCGTAAATCATCACTGGCAACACGCACTGGTTGTACAATTTCGTTTTCAGGTTTTGAGGTATGTCCAACGAGAAGATGTTTCGTAGTTTCCCGAATGCTTCCCAGCCGAGTTGAATCCGTCAATTGCCCTCTCGGTCGAAGTTGGACTTTCCTAGTCGAACTATTTGTCCCAAGTAAACATGCTCGTCAACAACTTCTAACTTAGTGCTCCCAACAACTACCGGCATAGGTGTGACATGGACATTAAACATGATCTTTGTTTTGTCCATGTTCATCTTAAGACCTATCCGATGCGAGACACTATTGAGGTCATTGAGCATAGTGCTTAGGTACTCCAGCGATTCTGCTATAAGGACTATATCGTCGGCAAATCGAAGGTGAGTGATGTACTCGCCATTGATGTTAATACCGCATCCATCCCAGTCCAGTAGATTGAAAACGACTTCCAATGCAGCGGTGAAGAGTTTCGGGGATATAACGTCACCCTGTCTTACGCCTCTCTGCAGTTGGATAGGTTTCGTACTCTGATTCTGTACTCGGATAGCCATCGTAGCTCTACTGTACAAACACTTCAGCACTTCGATATACCGACAGTCAACTTGGCATCGCTAGAGGGACTGTACCACCGCCCAAATTTAGACGGAATCAAAGGCTTTCTTATAATCCACATACGCAAGGCAAAGTGGCAGATTATACTCCTTTGTCTTCTGTACAATTTTCCGAAGGGTATGTATGTAGTCTATGGTACTAAAGCCTTTTCGGAATCCGGCTTGTTCGGTAGGCTGGAAGTTGTCAAGTCTGCGTGCGAGACGATTCGTAATGACTCTCGAAAACAGCATGTCGACGCGGCTTAGAAGGGAAGTCGATCTGTAGTTCTTCAAGAGAGCATTGTCGCCTTTCTTGAAGAACAAGGCCACCGCACTTCTGCTCCACGCCTCCGGAGTAGTGCCACCATGGAGGACGGAATTAAAGAGCTTCTGAAGGAGTTCAAGTACCGGTTTTCCACCCGCTTTCAAAAGCTCCGCTGTAATTCCATCCTGACCTGGGGCTCTGCCATTTTTAAGGTGCTGGAGAGCCATTCTAGTCTCGCTCAGACTTACGTCCGGGATATCTTCGGAATAGTGTCGGATGAGACTCCCTCTTGGATCGTTACTCACACTTGCGTGTGGCTCCAACGATGACGTGTACAGCTGCCCATAGAACCTCTCAATCTCACTCAAAATATCAGGTGTCCCGGAAACGATGTTGCCACACTCAGTCTTCAGCTTTGACAGTTGTCTCTCTCTGGCAGAAAAATCTCTGGCAAAGACCATGGAGCCTTGGTTCCGCTCGATTGCTTCTTCAATACAAGCTGTATTGAAGTTGCGTAAGTCCCGTCGCATGCATTTGGAGATCTGTCTGTTCAGTTGCCTGTATGCTGTCAAATCTGTTGAAGAATGTAGCTTCATCTCCCGTCTAACAGCCATGGGATTAAGATTGTGATCGGAGAGTGTTTGTGTTCTTCTGCGGCCGGTCTTGCAGAACTTAGCTCCGACCGCATGGACAGTTTCCACGAGCTTGTCATTCATATATACATATATATATATATACATGAAAAATAAACATAAATAAAAAATAAATTTTATATAATATAAATAAATATTGAATATTGATAAATTTGGCTTATAACTTGTTGTTTTAAGTTTCAAACACTTGTTACTTTACTTATATTCATGCAAGAGAACGCTTGCTCGCACGAATATGTCGATCCGAAGATAGTCAGCACTTAAAATGCCAGCTTCTTCACCTCACTGTAGCAAATCCGGAAGATTATTCCATGC